TTTCAATTAAGCAAATGATAAAATCAGGTGCAAACTGTAGTGGCGGATCCTTGCAGAGCAGCTAAGTCGGTGCTGAGGCCCCTTGACAGGTTCACAGTCCAAGGTTTGTTTCTCATCTTGAAAACTCAAAGAAAATAAATGCATTCAAATCACCTTAGAACTAGTAAACTATTCCTGAGGTAAAGGAAATTCTCTTTTCTTGAAGACCCCTCACCTAGGGATGTGCTGCTGGGAGTGACTCTCAGGACAGGGAGGGAGGGACCTGCCTCCAGGGTCTGCCCTGGAGGAGCCTGGGCCAGGACAGCAGCAGAGAAGAAGCAGAGCTCCAGGCTGAGCCTCAGCAGCAGCTGCCAGGGGAGCCTGCTTTTGGCTGAAGAGAAAAAGGGTTTTTGTCTCACTTCCCCACAGGCCTGGAGCACTGTGGGGCCACTCAGACTGTTGTCATAGGACTGGCAGTGATAATCAGCCTCATCCTCAGGCTGAAGACCAGCGATGGTCAGGGTGGCTGTGCTACCAGACCTGGAGCCCGAAAATCGATCAGGGACCCCTGAGGGTCGCTTGTTGTTACTAAATAAGTCACTATATATCAGGAGTTTGGGGGCTGTTCCTGGGAGCTGTTGATACCATTGCACATAACCATGATTCCCGATGTTGGAGCTGCTTCCAGTGCAGGAGATGGTGACTCTCTGGCCCAGATTCCCAGAGACTGAGTGTGGCTGAGTCAGCACAGACTGGGCCCAGGATCCTGGAAGGAGAAACACAGAGATGGTGATGCTGGGCTCTAGAAACAAGAGGACTTATACTGGGCCCATGCATCTTACCAGCCCCAAATCCAGTTACCTGTGCAGTGAGAGAGGAGAACAAACAGGAGAGGGGTCCAGGCCATGGTGCTCACACTTCCCTGAGCCCACATGGGGCTGGGCTGCCCCAGGGCTCCTTTTCTCCTCCACCCTCTGCTCCAGGAGGGGCTGTGCATGCAAATGTGTTTCAAGCTGTGACTGCCCCAGCCCCTCCCTGAGCCCTGGTGCAGGAGCTCAGCTCACACCCACACTCAGGAAGAGCAGGGTTTCTTCACCCCTTGGGAAAACCCTGGGAGGAAGCACCTGCTGCCACCACACACAGGTCCCTGCTCAGCAGTTTTGCCAGACAAGAAAGAACACAGCGCTGAGTTCCCACCTGGGAGCACAGGGCCTAGACCCAGGCCCAGGTCCTTGGTGTGACTGACCTCACTGCCTAGTGTGTGGAGAACACTGGGCAGTCCCACAGCGCCCCCTGCTGGTCTCTGCGCAAACACTCACCTTCGCCCAAAGTCCAAGAGCCGATTTGGTGTCTGCATCTCAGGAGAAAAAGTCTCTATTCACGATTGCATGTTCTGGTTCCTAGGACTGTGATTTCCTTACATTGTATATGGGTACTGTCAATGAGGAGCAAAGAGGCACTTACAGAAGTATTTTGAGAACATTATACTAAAAGCTAAATGATCCAAACAGCATTAAATCCTGTGCTATTGAGGATGGGCCGGTTGAGCTGTGAAGGGCTTTAGAGAAAGCTCAGGGAAATGTCACAGAATGGAAATTCCTAGAAATAACAACAATGGCATGTTGAAAAGTGAGTAATTCACAAAAATTTCAAAATATGTATTGTATTAAATATTGTTTACAGATTAGATTTGATTTAATGAAAGGATTTGAAAACTTCACACTAGTGAAGTCTGTAACATATTTCTTGAGTTCCATATGGAGCTTTGTAATCTTAAGATTTTAGCTTTTGCAATATCTGCGTCACGTAATTTGTTAGAATTTTTCCCTAGGACACATACAATTTGATTTTATTTTAAATAAAATTTTCCTTCCTGTATGCCTTACTCACTATGACAGTTTCAATAACCAATGAAAGTGAGAGTTTAATGTTTTCACATAGCCGGGAATGTGTGGAGAGCTGAATTCAGAAACCACAACCCATTTCCTCACCACACCCGTTTTCTACTCTGCTTTCACCTTGAGAAAGTCCCCAAACTTCTAGACTCTGGGGGTCTTGAGAAAATACCTGTGATCTCACATTCACTCCTCAGTCATTCAGAGGATCCTCCTCCTTCACCTCAGGCAGGTCAGTAGCTGCTCACCCCCTCACAACCCTCACTGCTCTGGGCATGAACCCCACCTCTTGCCTCCCCTCAGGAACCTGCAGGGTCTGCCCTATCCCCTCACACACCTCACACCCTTCCTGTTCTCAGACCTCCAGCAACCCTTACACTCGTGGCTTCACATCCTGACCCCTGTCCCTTCTATGGTCCCCAAGGTGACGCCTCCTCTGTGTGGGGGAGGGCAGGGCATGACTTGGGATCATGGTGAAGACACAGGTTGTCAGACACCCTGGATCATTCACAGCAACACACACCCCTATTATTCTGGACAGTAAAACAGAATTGATAATAATACTGAGACAGGGCAAGCTAGGGTTATTAGGCAGTTTTAGGGATAGTGCAGGAGGGGACCTCTGAAGAATTTAGGGAGGCTTCAGAGATAAGGACAACCAAAGAAATATAACCAATTCCATTAGGAAAAACAAACATGCCAGGACCAAGGACAACATTGTTAATGCTGGTCCTGGTTTCCTTCAGGTGGTAAAGGGAGGCGGAGATTGGAGAAATGGAGAGTGGTTTAATTTATGGTCACATTAGAAGGGCAGCTGTTTAACTTCAATGCAGGGATGTCCATCCAGAGGACTGGGCCATAAATTAAAGATGCAACAAATGGGGAAAGAGAAAGCTGTTAGATAAGGAATGTGAAGATCCCCACTCAGTAGCAAATTAAGTGAGACAGCCGAGAACTGACCAATCACAGAGAGACTGGTGAAGTTTTAGAATAATGAGGGAAAAAAGGTATATATTCCCTGAGACACAATTCCACTTTGGCTTCCTTGCCCCTCCCAGGCCTGGTTCCCTGGCCTGGGAGTCCCACTTTATTTCTGCTCTTTTCCTCCTCAATAAACTTTTTCTTTCTATAAACGAACCTGCCTCTTCTCGCTTGCTTGCCTGAGCGTCTGCGAAGTTCCTGCTGCGGCTTCGTGAGACACCAACCCTGGGGGGTCTAGTGGCTGGGGCTCAGTGCTGCCCTGCAGCCTGGGATCCGTTCCTGGCTGGGAGACTAGACCTGACAATTCCGGTATCAATACTGTGAGCAGTTTTATAGAAAGAAATACTATGCACATAATCCAAAACTTGGTTCACATCTCATCCTACCTCAAGCAACATCAATAAGACTCAAGGTGTTACATCTTCCACTTTATGCCACATAACCCCCTCCTCACTGAATGCGAAAAGAACCCTAGTATCATATCACTGCATTGCTCTATGCTCTGGCGGGTACAGACATTTATAATGTCTCTAAACTATTGTACAATGAACAAAAGCAGTGCTTGTTCTCAAGGAGGAGGTAGGTGTCATCTCCCAGAATTCCTTGTAGGCAGCTCTTGTGCAGAAAGCATACATGATGAGCAGGAGGGGAGCCTGGGTCATGGGGGTGATGCTCCCCTAGGTCCTATTTTTGACCCCACACCAGACCTGAGCCCACCAAGTAGTCTTATATGTCCCCTCATCCTGAAGGCGAGAGGTGTCATGCAAATATTCCACTTTGATGACTGCACAAGACCAGTCTTGTAATTTAAGCCAGGATTCAGCTGAATAAAGAGAGACCAGAAGCGGTAGGAAATTTGTTACCCCAGGAAAGGTGGGGGGGGGGCTCTGCAGGACAAGGCAGCTGTCACAGCTCTCAGGTGGCAGGGATTGAACAGGGCCCAGACACAGCGCCCTGTGGGGCAGGAGACATGTGGATCCTGGGCCAGTGCTGGTGCTCAGGGCTCGCCCTCCCTACCCAGCACCTCTCACATTCCAGACCCACAACCAAGGTGTCTGCACAGCAGCCTCAGCTCACTGCACTGAAACATCTCATCTGTGCAAAGGCCCCATGACAAGCGGAGCTGAGCCGTGTTGTTGGAGGTGTAGAATGTCATGGGGTGAGTGGGCTCTGCATGGTGGGAATGGATGCCAGGCCTCTGTTTTCCCCAGAAGGGACCAAGGGGCAAGGCTGTGAGCCCCTGAGGTATCGAGGTCCCACCACTCACGCAGGAGGAGGGAGGAGCCCTGAGATGAGTCCAAATTTCATCATCAGAAGTCACCACAAAACAGAAAAATTCTGAGGAGACAGGAGTGAGTGTAGAGAGTGTGATTCCAAGGGAAAATTATCAAAGGCCGTAATCGGTAAGAATTGACATGAAGAATTGAAATTGGAGATGAAATGGAGCAGGAACAGGTGCCTAGAGTATTGTTTTATCCAGAATATTCCATGTCACTCAAACTGAGAGCCACACTGCTTATGAGGCTACAAGAACTACTTTCCTGCTTCACCCCCACCCTCCCCACATCACAGAGGAGGACACTGCAGACAAGGTTTTGGAGTGTATGTTGTTTTCTCCCTCTTTTCACAGATGCACAGACTGTGGGTCCTCATGTCACCAGGCCCAGTTAGTACAGTTAGCATTCGACTAGGACCACAGGGGTTGGATGAGACCCTCACTGAAATCTGTAAATATGTCCTGCTCTGCTCGCATCTCCACCAAACAGCTTCTTCCCTTGAGTCCACAATGGTTGTTGGTTGGGTTTCACCTCCAGGCTCTGGCTAAGGAGACAGGCCTGGGACTGGGTGAGAGGCGAGCTCAGGGGACGGTTCTCTTTACATTCCCTGCCTGGACGGGTAAGTCATGGGAATCGGGAAAAGGAAAAGAGCAGGAGTCAAGGAGGATTAGGAAGAGGAGAGTCCTGGAGAATCTGCTTCTAGAACATTGTAGTTGGCAATTGGTTGGGGCCACGCAACCAATTCACATCACGACTTAATTTAATCCTCCCACAGCCCTATAAAATGGATGATGACATCACCTCCCATTCAAAGGTGAGGAGTCAAGGATTAAGTCCTCCCCGGAGTTGGGAAATGAAACCTGGGGCATCAAGGGTTGGGCGCTGTGGGCCCAGGTCCCTGCTCACAGGGCGGGCCCAGACCCTGAGGGTCTCCCAGGGCTGAGGAATGCATATGAGGCTCTGTCTGTGCAGGGTGAGAGCCCACCCATGTGGATGTGGAAAGTCCTCCCAGTCTCCCTTTGTGAGCAGAGCAGAGCAGTGGGGAGGTTTTTGTCTCACTTCCCCCTGGTGTGGAGCACGGTGAAGAGTCTGTGTTTCCATGATATATACTGCAGTAGTAGTTGGTCTCGTCCTCAGGCTGCGGCCCCGAGATGAGCAGGAGCCCCGCGTTGGCCGAGGTGTCCTTGGCTCCAGAGAAGCGGCTGGGGACCCCGGGGCCCTGGTCCTTCTCTGATTCTGTGTTGTAGTTCAGGAGATACCGGGGAGGGCTCCCTGGCTTCTGTTGGTACCAGAATATCTTAAAACTACCAACATTGTATCCACTGCTCAGGGTGCAGGTGAGTCTGGCTGTGGCTCCAGGAGAGGCAGAGAGGGAGGGCGGCTGAGTGAGCACAGGCTGGGAGAGGGAACCTGCAGACACAGACATGATAAATCCAAATAAACGTCAATCCCAGATAGGTATAGGATCTACTGGGATCAAATCAGACTAGGGATAGTTCGGGGTCTCGGAGGCCTGTGCCCACCTGTGCAGTGAGAGAGGATCACGAGGAGAAGAGGCGTCCAGGCCATGGTGCTCACAGCCCCTAAGCCCACCTGGGGCTGGCCGCCCCAGACCTCCTTTTCTTCCCCACCCTCTGCCACAGGAGGGGATGGGCTATGCATGCAAATGGGGTTCTGTCCAGGGGCTGCCCAGCCCTCCCTCCCAGAACCTGGTGTAGAATCTGAGCTCATACCCCACACTGAGGAGGGAGGTTTGATTCACTCTCCAGGCTCTGACCCTAGGGCTTGTGATTCACCACTTTTGTTTGTTTGCTGACATGGAGGCGCAAACTGGTAAGTATAGAAAGATTGTGAGTACATTATACAACGTCTAAATGCTGCAGATGTGTATTTAGTCAGCTGCCGCAGGGGATGGACCAGTGAGCTGTAAAGGGCTTTAGAGGAAGCCCAAGTAAATGACTCAACAGATAACTTCTAGGGATCACCCCAATGGCATATTCAAAAGTGGATAATTCAGCAAATATTTCAAAATATGATTTGATGCATATCATTTTATTTACAGATTATATTGGACTTAGTGCTTGGCTGTCATAAAAAGCTTTGGAAAGCCTCACACCAGTGAAAAATGTGACTTATTTTTTGAAGTGACTTATGGAGCTGTATAATAGTAAGATTTTAATTTCTGTGTATCTGTGTCATTTTTCATCAGATTTTTGCCTTAGGGCACATACAATTTGTTGGTATTTTAAATAAAATTGTCCTCCCTGATTTACTCTCTTTTTAATTTAATGACAAATAAATGTGAGAGTTTAATGTTCCTGCTGTTGCTGTGAATGTGTGGAGAGGTGACTGCAGACACCATAACCCGTTTCCTTAACAACTCTTTTTCCTCTCTGCTTTCACCGTAATATCCCCCAAATCCTAGACTCAGGGGCCGTGAGAAAATACCTGTGATCACACATTCTCCTTTCAGTCATTCAGAGGATCTTCTCTTTCAACTCAGACAGGTCATGGAGGAGCCCTGGGGAGCAATCCATCTTTCTTCATGGAATATTCTGAGGCGGCCGGTGAGTTGAGTGATTGTGAGTCAGGGAGAAAATTTATTCATTAGTTATAATAAATAAATGCCATGAAATATTGAAATTAGGCATGAAAATGGAGCAGCAAGGGTTGCCCTAAAATGTCATTTTCTTCTTGCAGAATATTCCATGAGAACAAACTGAGAGCCACTCTGCTTATGAAGTTACAACACCTGACTTTCCTGCTCCACCCCACCCTCCCCATAGTCACACACAGGAGGGCACTGAAGACAAGGTTTTGGAGGGTACAGTGCTTTCCCCTTCTTTTCACAGGTGCACAGTCTGTGGGTCTTCTGCCCTCGCCCAGCTAGCACAGTTGGCATCCCCTAGGAGCACATGGGTTGAACGTGAACCTTATTAATTTCTGCAAAAATGTCCAACTCTGGTCATACTCCACACACGGGCTTCTTCCCGTGAGCCCACCATGTCTGTGTGGTTGGGATTCACTTCCGGCTCCTGGATAACAGAGAGGTCCTGGGCCTGGGTGAGAAGAGAACTCAGTGGGCATTTGTGGTCAGGATGGGGGTCAGCACTGTCCATTCCTATCACCACAATGAGTCCTGCTATGCACTCAATGTCCTGTGTCCCATCCCATGTGCTCCACTCACCAGAGTGACGAGGTGAGTACCCTGTGTTGATGGTATAGATCATCACACTGACACAGAGATAAATCCAGAAGCCATGCCCATGACACTTGTATAGTATTTGAAAAATCAAGGATTTCACTACAGATTGTTTCCAGTGACACTGGGCAGTGAGTGAGGTGGGGAATTAAGACTGAGAACCTAGGTCATAATGAAGACTTCTAAGTTCCCCTGAACTCACCGATGGTGTTGGTGTCTGCAATGTCTCTTCAACTCTCCTACTTGGCTTCGGGGGTACATTATGCAAATATGCGTGCACACCACGAGTCAATTCGGGTCCTCAGTCCAGTGTGTAGCTTCATTCAAGGCGTTGTCCTGGGATATCTGGGTGTCTGTGTTTGTCCTTTGGGTGGAAGCACCTGCTGTCAGCTCTCACATGGGCCATGAGCACAGGCACAGATATCAGTCAGAACCATTTGAGTGAGCCTGGCCAACTCTGAGAAGTCCCACAGCGCCCCTGGTGTGTGCTCTAGAGAATATTAGTGGTGTGGGGAGGTAGGCAGAAGAAACTTGAGCCCTTTTTTACTTTAAATGAATCATTGTTTCCTATGCTTGAGTCACTGAAGAGAGTTTTCATTTGAAATTTGAAAAATTACATTTTTTCAAATTTATTTTTCATTTAGTTTATGTTTAAGAACTCTTATAAGTTCTAAGATTTTCTCCTTTTTCATTTGTTGAGAGTTTTTGTACTTAGTGATAAAATGGATTTTATGGTTGTTGAATAAAAATATGTAGCATTTATATCAGCATCTAAATCATCTCACGGCTAGTGTCTGTATATTACCTCTTATTCAAATTTTTATTTTCCTGACTCTTAAATCCTTAGAGGACGTTTCATGAAATCTTTCAATTCCTGGCTGTATTTTGATTTCAACCACAATTTCAGTGATGGCTTCATTTTTAAATCTGTTTCTGAAGGTCTTGGATTTTGAATGGTAATTTGAAGGGGGGTGAATGTGTCATGGGATGTTACCCTCACAACATGTTAAACATTGCCTTGATAACAATAGAGGCAGAGACACAGCACTACCTTTCTTGTTCACACAAGTCTCCTGGATGCTGGTTAAAACACAGGCTTTAACTCACAGCACAGGCTTCTGCTTAGTGGGCTGAGAAGGGGAATTTCATTTTCAGAAGCTCCCAGTAATGCTTCCATCTAACCCTGAGAGGAAATGCTCCTTTCTCTGCATGCTTAATTCATGGATGAGGGTATTACTGTTAGTGCTGTTTGAATAAGAAGTCTTCCTGGGGTGCAGCAGGGTTGCTGGGGAGCTGGGGGCCCTCCTGGTCATCACCTGCAGAGAGGGAGGGAGGAGACACAAACATAGTCCCCAGGATTCACACTGGAGATGGACACAGCCTGGAAGGCCAGGAGGAAGCACCTGGGAATGAACCAGCACATACAAGGTCACAGAGCCTCTCTCCCCCCCAGGGGATTTACCCTCAGCCTTTCTCTTTCCTCCTTCTGAGGCTGAGCCTTCTGGGCATCTGAGGAGGTTTTGGCTACACATCCCCATGTACACGTTCACATCACTGTGCAAATGGCATTACCCATGTACAGCACACAGTGATACTCGGCCTCATCCTCAGTCTGAGCCCCAGTGATGGTGAGGGCGGCTTTGTTCACTGACATGGTGCCTGAGAAGCGATTTGGGATTCCAGAAGGGCAAGTATTTATGTTGTAGATCAGCATGTGTGGAGCGCGGCCTGGAGTCTGCTGGAACCAGGTGGGGTAGTTACCAGTAGAGACTGACCCAGAGCTAAGGCCACAGGTGAGTGTGACCGTCCCTCCTAGGGACACTGACAGGGATGGCTCCTGGGTCACAGTCTGAGAATCGGCCCCTGAAATGACAGGAGAGAGGCAGGTGTTATTATGAGACCAGGGTCATCCTGCTTTATGTGCCCCAGCCCAGGAGAGAGTCTCTTCCCCAGACCAGAGCTGTAAGCGAGGAGCCCAAGAAGAAGCACCATCCAGGCCATGGTGGGGACACTCCTGAGATGCGGCCTCCTCAGCTCCTGGCCTTTTCATGTCTCCTGGAACTATTTTGGGGAAAAATGTTTCATGCAAATCATCTTCCTCTCTCCTCCTGCCCCAGGTTCACCCTGCTGTCTCCTGGGGAGATTGAAAGAAACAGATGCTGGGACCTCAGACACAACAGTGGGTGCTCAGTGACGACACTAGTGATGGGCTGACATCGTTCACTAAATCATCACTCCGAGTCTCTGGGGACTCAGTCCCAAATCTCTTCTCTGGAAAGTCACAGGACTAGAGAGAACATCAAGAGACAAGGCAAGAGTTGAGTTTGAGTCCAAGCCCTGCAGATTCTGTTCCTGTTCTCCCCTGTAACCCAGGATTCTGGTGCTTTAAAGATCCAGAGGTCAAGTCCTGTCTTCCTGCTTTGCACCCACCACCAGAGGGCGCCTCGGGACCCTGTGCGCTGCAGGAGCACCTGGTGCCAGGAAAGACTCTGCTCATCTGGCTGTTTCTCTGTCCTTCATCCGAGGTCACCCCCTCTTGGTAGCATCCATCTCTGAGAGCTGTGCACAGAGTGGCAGGATGGAGACTATTTCCCTTCAACACAATTATTGAGGTAGCATTGTTTTATACTGTTGTTTAAGTGGCAGGTGTACATTATTATAACTCAACCTGTGTGGTCACCATGTCATGACCATCACCGAAGGGTTAGTTTCCATCCATCCCCGTCCATCTGTCCCATTCCTTTTCCACCCACATCCTCAGCCCCTTCCCTTGTGGGACTGTGCCCTGTATCAGAGAGTTTTGTTTTGCTTTGTTTATGGTCAACATAAGATTGAAATTATGCAGTATTTGTCTTACTTTCTCTGATTTATTTCCCTTACCATAATATACTCAAAGTCCATCCATGTGCTCTCAACTTGCAAAATTTCATCTTTTTTTTGTGGCAGTCATATTTCAGGATATATATTTCTCATATATATAATGTATATCACGTCTTCTTTATGCACACATCTGCTGATGGAAAATTATGCTGTTTGACAACTTGGCTATTATAGATCATGCTGCAATGGATGAAAGGATGCCTATATCTTTTATAGCTAAGCTCTTTTTTTTTTAAAGATTTATTTATTTTCTTATACAGGCACTCGGTACAGTCAGAAGCCTGGGAGAGTGAGAGAATTACCAGAGCCAGAGCGGGGAGCAGAACAGGCAGACTGATGAAGTACACTGCTGAGGGGAGCAGCGGGTGGCAGGAGAGGTCTGTTGCGCCATGTGGGACCCTCGCCAGCAGCTGGGGATCAAACCGGTGCTGCAGAGGCTGCGGGCCGCTTCGCAGCCCAGCGCTAAACCACTGTGCCACAGGCGAGG